TTTTTTAATATGTTGCGTATTTGGTTCAGAAGACCCATCGAATAAGGCTCGGTTGCTCGAATGCCTTGAAGGTGTGTTGAACAAAGCACAGGACGCACCAAAGTCAAAGAAGGTGCGACCGGTCACCTTACGAGTGCATTGCCTAATTTATGTGGTGGAATTCAGGTTCAACATTCTAATGCCAAAAACGCTGTTCTTTTCGAAGCTATTGCGTTAATTATCCACATGGATAGCGAAGCGAACTTGCTTGTTCGTGCATGTAATCAGCTCGGCACATTCCTTGCTCATCGTGAAACAAATCTCCGGTAGGTAATTCATTCTGCTATAACACTTTCTTGTCCAACTTTTACAAAATCAGCTTTTTGTCTTAGGTATCTGGCGCTCGAATCTATGTGTCTCCTGGCTACATCGGAGTTCTCTCATGAAACTGTAAAGAAACATCAGGAGACAATCATCAACAGTCTCAAGACTGAAAGGTAATCGAGCAGAATCTTTTAAACTTTTAATACTCCATCTCAAACATTAATTTCAGGGATGTTTCAGTACGCCAGCGTGCTGTTGATCTCTTATATGCGATGTGTGACCGAACAAACGCCAGTGAAATTGTCTCAGAAATGCTGGCTTATCTCGAAACCGCAGATTACTCCATTAGAGAGGAAATGGTCAGTTGATGGTATCACTGTTTGAATCGTTCACCTTAGCTGTAATTTTCTCTTGGCAAAAGCATCAGCTGTGGAAAATACCATAATGTTTCCAGGTATTGAAAGTTGCTATACTTGCTGAAAAGTATGCAACAGATTACACCTGGTATGTTGATGTTATCCTGAAGTTGATTCGCATAGCTGGTGACTATGTGTCAGAGGAAGTATGGTATCGAGTCATCCAAGTCAGTGTTCATTGCTTAAGTCGTGGTGAAAAGTAACCTTTGTTCATACTGCAAAATATAGATTGTGGTCAATCGTGAAGATGTTCAAGGATATGCAGCGAAAACTGTGTTTGAAGCTCTTCAGGTTTAGTTTGCGGTTTCCTCGCTCCTCTCTTTATCTTCAACTTTTCATGTTTTTTCTAGAGACCTGCATGTCACGAAAATATGGTCAAAGTAGGAGGATATATCTTGGGAGAGTTTGGCAATCTCATAGCCGGAGATCAGCGATCGAGGTAGGCTAAAATATCTGCAAAGCAAGATAAATTAATGCTCCATTTCCAGTCCACAGATCCAGTTTGAACTGCTGCATTCCAAGTTTCCACTATGTAGCATCGCTACCCGTTGTCTTCTATTGACGACATATGTGAAATTCTGCAATCTCTTCCCTGAAATAAAACACATCATACAGCAGGTAAAGGAATATTTCGCGCATTCCATTACGCAGACTTATCCGCTTAAGAATTGTTTGCATTCAGGTTTATCAAATTGATCACAACTTGAGAAATCCTGACGCTGAACTGCAGCAGCGTGCTATGGAGTACCTACAAATGAGCAAGGTTGCTAGCCCTGATGTTCTTGCCACGGTGACTATTTTAATTATTCAAGGCTTTCATAATACCAAAGCTTCCACTACGTTATCAGTTTTTGAAAAGCGTCAATTGTTTCTCAACAGATTCTCGAAGAAATGCCGCCATTTCCTGAGAAAGAAAGCAGCTTACTTGCAAAACTAAAGAAGAGTAAACCACAGGTTGAAGAGTTGGAAAACGTTGAAAAGGAGAGAAAAACTCGTCCCGCTGTGTCATCCAAGGTATGATCATTTGTCTGCGCTTCCTCTATCACCGTGTATCATTTTCTATATTAGGATAGTGCAGCCTCTGGTACTCTTGTTGATTTCTCGCAGCCTGGGGGAAACGGAGGATCAAGGTCAAGAAATAGTCGACTTTCACTTTCTTTCAAGCACGAAATGTGGTTACTTGACGTTGGAAGCTAATTTTGGGTCTTTCAGCTCACTTGTTGATATCTTCGGACAACCAGGGGCACAAGCTCCAACTCAAGCTCCTGTTGGTTCGCCTACTCCAGGAGATGACATGGACATAGCGAATAAGCATGATTATCTTAAGTTTGTACATTTCTTCCCGAACT